CTGTAAAATATTATTGTAAACGAAATTGAATAGTCATTGGACGTAGATATTTTAACTGTATAGTGTGTATATAATACACATTTATATCGTAGAGATATATCGTTTCGTATAGGAATATGATACTGATGCGATGACAACGTTTGTTTAGAGAGCCACAGTATAGCGTGTGGGTTTGACGTTGGGTTGTGGCAATATTATTATACTATATATACTTATTTTAATAATAATATTATACAAACAGTATCATCAATACTTATTGTTTTTCTAATAACTATTAAATTATATATTTTTTCATAACAAACATAAAATATATTTTATAAAATAATGCAGTTTATTTTTTTTCGATCATTAATGTTTTTATTATACAATAGCTATAATAATCAAAAATTATTTTGTATATATTGTATTTTTTAAGTCCATATTTTAAAATTTTAAATACTTTTAAGTCCGGTCATTAGATATATATGCAGGTAGAAATGTTTGTGCTCTGTATATAATACAAAATTAATTTATGTTAAATATATTAATCAACATGTATATTGATAGATTTATTTAATTTAATTTAATGTTTCTAATTAACATACTTACTTAATCATCTAAATTATCAGTCCAGTAACATCCAACGGGTAGATAGACAATCTTTCTTTTTCATAGTATCCATGTCTATATTGATAAGGTTCTATTTAATGTAAATGTATGTTTTGAAATGAATGACGGCTGTATGACATAAGCGCCAAAGATACAAAAATTACATATCATTTGTGCCAAAATGTGTTAGACATAAGCGCCAATATAATATTATATACCTGTTATACCAATGTATGACTTAAGCGCCAAAGATATCGTTTGATGTTTCAATTTTATAAAAAAATTGTCAATAATATATATACAAATACATATAATTTTAATTAATTGGTTGATTTTTTAATCTAATTTGTTTACACATTCCATATGATATATTTCACTATCTTGGTAATTTCTTCTATTGTACAATTATTTCTCTTGGTACACCTCAATGAAACATTATCGCTAGCTATTTCTTGTAAAAATCCATATTTTTGATTTTTAAATAAAATGCACGCAATATCTTTATTATTAATAGTTTTTGTAAAATTAATTTTAAATAATGACACTTACTCGAATTCTTACGAAGTATGTAGTAAAATTAGTTATGTAACATAAAACTGCTTACACACTGTCTATGTGACAATCTATCGTAATCATATAATACATTTTTCGATTAAGATTAAACTTTTGCAATTTTTGAATGATATACTTAGTTCTAAATTTAAATATTTTACCTCCTAAGCTACATAGAATTTTAGTGCTTTAGAGCAATACGATTTTTTTTATTTTTATCTCATTTTGGTATTTATATCTTTCACTGATGAATGACATCTATACACAAGTAATAACATATCAGTAATAAAAGAAAAAAATTGTTATTTCATGCAAACAAATCACACACACACACACAACATAGAAATAAATATAATCACAAAATTCATATTGTATATTTTAGTAATAAACGAACATTTTAATATGATACTTAATAATGTAAAATATAGATAGTTACATAATATAACGAATCAAAAATTAGATATAATAATTGATACAATTACATAAATATTATATTATATTAAATTAATTTCTTTATTTTTCATAAAATATGAAAAATAATGCAATTTTCGAGGTGAAAAAATGATTGTAGCACTAAAATATTATTTTATTTTATTTTATTTTATTCTATCTATATAACACAGATCCTAAATTTATTTAGTAATATCATAAATAAACTACTAACAAATCTCTAAAGCATGCGTAAGCGTGACGCCTATAGATAATATTGAATAATCATCAAGATAATAACGGCCTATCGTATATATAAATCCTTTTACTTGATTATACTCAGCAAAAAATGTAAAGCAAAAAAATATATTTAAAGTATGATGGGCTGTAAAAAAAAAAAAAAAAACAGTAATGAAAATATGGCTTGTTAACTTCGTAAAAATGTCATAAACAGATATTATTATATATTTTGAAATATGCCATAAAATAAAATATAAAGTATGATGAATTTGTTGAAACGTATATTTATTTATTTATTTAATATATATACGAACAAGCTTTTTAGATACTGGATCATTTTTAATAATAAGGTGAACGACAAACGTAAAAATAAGACTCGAACAAAAAATATCAATTGCCAAATAAGGGGACGAATTATTTTGTTTCTAATTGATCAATAAAAAAAGGAAAATTTATTTCCAAAACTAAAACTGAAGGACAAAATTTACTGCTAATTATTTAGACAGATGTAATGTAATAAATCGAATAATGGCTGAACAAAATTTCATGAACAGAATAATAATCAATAACGTTTATAATTCGTGGGAAACGTATATTATTATCCTACACATTTTTTTCTTATTTGTGAACACATCATATCACATTTTGATGTTTTAAAGCGACTATATCAATTAAATTTTGAGTACTCTGTAAATCAAACAAATTTAAAAATCGTATTTAACGATATTTTTATAAACATCAAAGTTTTTGTAGTTGTGGGTGCGATGGGTATTAAAATTAATTAACAAATAGATGTGTTGTATATGTATATGGAAATATAATATGTCTATTGCAAGCTTTCAAATATACACACAATCACACTTGTGTGTTTTATTATTCAATACATATATAAAATACTAGTAATGTGTACTTTGGTGAATTTATATTAAAACGGCGTCTTCGGAGTTGTCGTCATAGTCTTTTCTCCGTAAACTTATTTATAGGACATGACAGTGCCGTCGTCGCAATGTAACTCGCTTGAGCGGATTAACGTGCAAGCTTTAAAAACTTTTACTAATCCTTTTTCACAAAGCGAGTCTTAATAAAATGATATGATATAGTATATAATTCCTACCTACATAACAAAAATGTTCAAGCATTGCAATTCTACTCGTTTGGTTATTGAAATGATAATTTAAAATCATTTTGTCAGCGTATTTAATATGTTCAAACTTAAAAATGATGTATTTTAATATCATGCGAGTTGACAACGTTATACAATAACAATATTAGGCTGGGTCATAACTTTTAGATAGCATTTTAGAAGAATGAAAATAATTTTCAACATGAATAAATATGTCATTTTACAGTCGTTATTGAATCGATCGATATTAAAATTATGATGTGAGCCTCAATAATATGAATTATATATGAACATTATATAACATCATTATTTAATCCAAGTTTTCGTGACGGTAAATTAATTTTTATTCTATTATTTATTGTTTTAAAGTCTTGACTAAAAGTAATTTAATACACTGAATAATTATTACAATTACACATACTGCACTATATAATTCAAACGTTGGTACGCGTATTATAAAATTACTTTAACTCGAAGATGCCGTTTATACTGACCCAACTTTAAATTGTATTTGTGTTTTCGTTAACCGTTTTATTACAATAACAGTTAACTCTGTCTCATATACGAATAATTTCATTAGGCAGTGACCGATGCTTGTCCAGTTCGGTCGGGCTACATTCTTCGATTAAATCAGGTTTCGTCGTAAGCTTTCATTTTCAAAGATCAGGAACTACCATAGTAATTGCTTTAACATCTTAACCTTTGTAAAATGCCGTCTTGGTAGTTGTTGGAATAACAAAGTGATGCTTCCATGAGCCCGGCTCTTGGCATGCGTTAACAACATCCATTGCTATCGCCTGAGGTTATTTTTATACAAGTCAGATAAAGGATTATAAAGCCAAACCTCTATTTAAAGAACGTGATGTTTCTTTCAAATACCTACATATTGGTTGAAAGGACATTTGATGAAAAAGCAATACATTTTTATTGCTTTAAAAATATGAAGTTTTACGTGAAACAATATTTTTGTTTGATCAGAAATAATGAATATGTAATATTAATACAGTATTTAAGAAATATTAAATTATAGAATAATTTTAAAAGATTAATTCACTAAATAAAAAGTTTTATAATGAAAACGTATTAGTTTCATAAAAACATTTTATATATTATAGAAACGAGTTTTGTTAAATAAAGTTTCAAATGTATCTTCTACGATACGTGCATCAAACAAATAATATATACATGTTTGTACATACGTGTACACATACATGTATACACAAATGCATATACTTGTAAATATGAAATAGATTATTTCTGTAAGCCTGAGATTTTGCTTTTAATGAAGTACAAATTTAACATTATTTTAATTTCGTACATAATACGATTCTCATATGAATACGAGTAATATTAACAAAATGATTTAACAATATTTAAAAAAAAAAAAAAAATTACAAAAATACATATAATTATTTTACGGACATTTATACGACAGACATTAGATGTGAACTGGACCACGAGTTATCTAATACTGTGAAAAACCATCCACAAACTTAATTTTTTCTCGTTTTAATTGTATCTAAATGCGCGGTTTATAAACCGAAAAACACGTTTTGTCAAACTTTACAGGGTGTTATGATATTACAAAAATTATAATTACATTTATCACGGTTGTTTGCAGGCTCGTGACGAGATCGTTTCACAGCGGTCACCCACGCTCATATCGGCCGTCGAATGAACACGCTGGACGACGGTGACCGCGAATCCAGTTCGCCACTGGACTTTGGCGTGGTGGACGTGATAACCACCACTATCGTGTACCTGACGTGCACCGTCGCGGTGTACGTGCTGTGCACATTCGTCGAGGACGCCATTGACGAACCGGCCACGCAAGCGGCCGACGGCACACGGACATCGGCCGCGGCACCGCCGACGGCATCAGTATCGTCGGAGACATCGGCAGCTGGGACGGGAGCCGGTTCGTCCGGAACAGCGCCGCAACAGCCGCACGCGCCGACTCGGTCGCGACCGCCGACGGAACCAGTCGCGGACCAACCTCCGGCGGGAACGGGAGACGCGTCGCGGGCCACGGTGCCGGATGACATGGGACGCGAGAAACGCCCACGGTGATCGGTGCCGCGGCCAATGATCGGCCAACCGACCGCGAACGCCGCGGCTGTGGCGCTGACCGTGGCGATCGTGGCCGTGGTCGCGCTGTGCACACCTGCCGCGTTTGCGGCCACGCTCACGCGGGTCGTGCAGACCCGGTACGGCAAGCTTCAGGGCGTGGTGCGCACCGTGGACGTGGCCGACTCCGCGGCCGCCACCGTCGACACGTTCCTGGGCGTGCCGTACGCCACTCCGCCCGTCGGCTCCAATCGGTTCGGACCCACACGCACCCCGTCGCCCTGGGACGGCGTCCGCATGGCCGACACCCCGGGCCCCGTGTGCCCGCAACGCTTGCCCGACGTGTCCAACGAGACGGCAGCACTAAACCGCATGCCCGTGGGCCGGCTCGTCTACCTCAAACGTCTGTTGCCGTACCTGCGCAACCAGTCCGAAGATTGCCTGTACTTGAATATCTACGCCCCGTCCCAAGGTCAGTGAACTAGCATACCTATCGTATTTTTGATACGCGGGTGGTCGGGTGGATGGGTGTGCGGATGTGATGAGACGGAGAGAACGAGAACCGCTTAGTGCACCTCCGTCTAGTAGCTCGCTTCTCCGAGGTCCTTACGTCCACATTGTGTATTAGAGCATTTACTAAAAACGTATACTTCTGCTGTACAATTATCGGTTTTACTAATATAATCCCTTGTGTTATTAATAAGAGGATTTAGAATTAGATGATACCTGTCTATCAGCTGTTCCTCTGACCATGTCCGTATCTCTACATGGGTTGAAAGTAAAATGATTGTTATTAGAACGTTCGTTTGGAAGAGAAAAACTCGTGAGTCTGAAATTTCAATTATCCCAGTATGATCTTAATGAATCAACATTTGTGAAACTGGAAATCGTCATCCTTCGTATCGATAGATCCGTCAAAACCTATAAGATCATTAAGGATATTAAACAATTTCTACAGACGACTGAAATGAATCTTTAAATTTAATTCGGTAAAATGTTGAAAATTAATTTGAGTTCTCGTACAATTCTAACCATCCAGATATTTTGAAATATTCGAAAGGTTTTGATTGCGTCATTAGAAGTTATTTTAAAATTATCATTAATATTTTGTTTCACTTATTTATTTTTATTATATTTCAAGTTTAAAATTCCCTTAAGAAATATCCTTATCGTTGTCTGTAAATGGTAAATATTTACTTATAATAATAAGATTCTTTCTCGTTTTCTCTACACACGTCAATACAAAAAACCATCAGCATGTTTTCAATGTACGAGTATTGTTGAGCACGTTACAACATTTTTTTTTAGCAAAGCATAAAATGATAATATTTAAACATCATGTGTACTAGTCAGAAAATATTACCTAGTGTTAGCTTTGGGCAAAAAATAAATTATAGAAAACATAATATATTGAGGACTTAGGCTTAAACTTTAACAACAACAACCACTGCGTGTTACCGCGGTTGGTCGTTATGCGAGTTTCTGTAATCATAATTCATGTTTTAAACCGACCGCACCTAAACCCGCGGTGACTTAAATGTTCTACGGTAGCTTTAAGACTCGATGGTTTGCAAAGACAAACCGTAACAAGAGAATAATATTTAAACTCGAGTCGTTTACAATAATAGCAGTAGTTATCTCTCGGGTAGAATATGAGATATAAAAAAATAAATAAATAAAAGCAAACCGTTATTATTACTGTAGACGGTAGACATAACAGAAATGTACCAAAGTACATCGAAATGTAATCCATAACAATAAATTATACGGTTGTATACTTTCTTAGCTATTATGTGAACTACGTAACATATTAAGTTAATATGCTTACTTATAGCTTTAAGTATAAATATATAGTACACATTTATTGAGTGTTTCGATATTTTCTTCCAAATTTTGATGTTGAAATCCACTAAATTCAAGTATGTGATCGTGTGGCGATATATTGCTTGATTATGATAGCATTAACTAGATAAATATAGAATGTTATATGGTACGCGTTTGAACATAAAATTGAATCTAAGTCTTCAGGTATATAAATATTAGTTTACGTCAGGATTCAGTTAAAGAGCTCAAGAACAAATAATTCCACTTAAATATATTTTTATGGACATCGTGGGTTTTTCAAACAATTATTATTCATTATTATAATATATTTATACGCCATTTATACATTATTGTATTTGACTCATTTTACAACACCTCTCCACCGTACAATCTGCAATTCAAAAAATGTATATAATAAAAGAGTAGAAAATAATGAGCAATATGCCCTAATTTGTTGATATTTAATCACTTAATTGATTACAGAAATTAACCATAATATCCTGTCCAAAGCACCATCAGTCATTTGATAGTCAACAAAACGTAAAAATTAAAAATTAGTTTTTAATGAGTAGATTTTAGTATTATCAGTTGATATTTTATAGATTTTGATATAATTTTTTTTTAATATTGATAACATATAAATGCTGTCCTTAGTTAGATCTTAATGGTCCATGTATCACTATAACCACTCTTTTATTTTAAATATTAAAACAGTTATTGATTGGTGTTATTTGGCAGTATATCAGGGTATTCCAAATTTAATGTGCATAAATACTAGTAATTTTATTGGTTCTTATTTCAATTTTAACACACATAATTTGAAACAGCATACCTACATAACATAATTACTACTCATAGTATTTATGAATATAAAACGTTAACCAAGTGACCGTTATAATAAATAAATAATTTTACTTTGTATTAATTAGCATACATCATTTTGAAAAAAAAATAGTCATCATAACCGAGACCTTTTATAGAAATTGTAATTTATATATAAACATTATTGTGTGCAGTGGTTATTTTATGTTTGCATAAACAAAATGTACTGAAATTAAATTCCGAATTAGATTAACAAGTCTTATATTAGAAAAACTAGGTCTTCAAATCCACAAATTAAATTTGTTTACTTAGGAACGTTATATTTTTCCATCTTTTAGTGCCGTTGGCAAAGAGTCAACAGTGGTTTATAACATTTTTCCTAGAATAAATGTAATTGTGTTTAATGTACGCAATTATGAATACTAAATATATTCAATCATGGTATACAGATGAAATTAATTTAAAACTTTTCTAGTGATCTAAAGCAATTATATATATAAACATAAAATTCACATCAATATTTATAATTACACAAAATCATGGTTCTGTAATACGATATGTACGAGACGAATAAAAGATACGCATTTTTGTGAGAAGATTAAAATGTTATTGATAATTGTCTACTTTATTTGCTACTGTTCCGAATATTCTTACATAATGAGTGGTTCAATTAATTAAATATTAAATTTTAATATTATTTTGTAAATTTTGAGATAACTAAATTATATTTTATGCTAAATACCTATTTAAATATATATAATAAATTATAAGTGATGAAGAATTTCTTTTGTAAAAGGCGTTTAAGACAAAAAAATAAAAAAAAAACGAAAACAATAAACTATATTCTTTTTTCTTAAAAATATTTGGTGACTGAATGTTTACTGTTTACGGTCTCTAAACGTCGAGGAAAAAGTAAACGTTGGCCCTATTCACTGAGATAAAACATGTACCCTGCTGTTGTATATCAATATATATTTAAAAAAATAGTGCGATGGGTATTATTTAATGCTAAAAAATTATGTTATTTATACACGATATTTATCGTAGTTGACACATTTTTCGAATTATACAGATCAAAAAAAAAAAAAAAATAATAATAATTATGACGTGTCACTAGTTTTGTTGTGATATAATAATAATTATTTTATAAAATCAATCAACGGAAATTACTCTGTTATTAATTTGTTTTTTAAGCAAAGAACATATTATTTTTATTTTTTTAGTATGGGTACAAATTCATTAAAAAGATCAATTTAATTTATATGTTACATTTGGAATGCTTGTAGTGCGTCCCGACATAACTTTAAAATTATTTCATATTGCGTAACTTATATTCACATGTGAAAACTAAAAGTTATACAAAGAATGCATATTTTAAAATTTTTAATTTCCTAGGAAAAAACAGTAAAATATAAAAACAACTCATGAAAAGTTACACTTCAACTTTTGCCAGTTCGTTTGAATATTAAGACTTTCAAAAATCAGGTAGGCAAATTAATTAAAAACACAAATTTGAGTCACGTTTGTTTGAAATTAATTTAAAAACCGTTAAGCATCTCGCATTAATTCCTGATGCGACAGAGTTATAAATTAAATTATTTACGAATAATACTACACATTTTGATTTTTACACAAACATACCGCACTGGCTATGGTTATAATATGCATAATAATTATGACATGGATTTAATTGTTGAAACAACATATTTAATGTAGTAACGTCAAATAAAAACGATTAAGCTAAAATCTATTTAAATTTTTTTAATCTATATAATAATTGTATGTTATGTCGATTGTTGCAAGTAAATAAATTTACCTACCTAAATATATTTATACATAATATATATCAGCCCGCACGTGATGACTATTTCGTATATTAGGTCGTTGTACATCTGCCGTCACCGCTTACTTTAATACATAAGCAAAATCATAGTTATTGTTAGTAGATGCGTAATAAAAATCATATAACTAAACAAAAAATATAATAACATTTTTTAGTGGATTAATTTATAGAAAATGTTTAATAATGTTATCTTTTATTATACAATATACTCAATTTTTAAAAAAACTTATTATCTAACTCAGTGGTTCTCAACAGGGGCAATATAGCCCCCCCCCAGTGGGCGGTGAAGTGTCACTGAGGGGCAATGAACTAGTTTTGGGCGGTAAGGGGGCAGTGAACTAATTTAGGTACTTATTTTTTTAAATTAATTTCCATAATACTAGTACTATAAATAAAAAATACATCAAATATAAAAAATAAATAAAAAAATGAGTTATTAGATTATTTCAATTTTTTCTTTTAAATTTTCCAAATACCCTTAATTATAGAAGTCTCACATTGTAGGGGCCGTTAAAAAATTTATTGACACTCAAGGGGGTGGTAACTTAAAAAAGGTTGAGAAACACTGATCTAACTATTCAAAAAAATTAAAAAACACTTTAAAAATAAATAAATTTAAAATAAAGTATATGAAAATAAATTAAACTTAGTAGTAATGAAGCTAATGAGACTCATTGTCCATCATCGTCATATTTTTTTATCAGTATATCGGTTAAATACAAAATTTGTGATAAATAATTAACTATATGTTCAAAAATTATAATTTATTATTATAAACACATAATACTTTATATATTAATAATTAATAAGAAAATATTGTTAAATTTTTAAAATAATACAAAAAATGTAATTTCATTATTTGTCTTATTTGAAATATACATTTAATTAAATATGTCTTGGTGGATAGTAAATTACACGAAAAATTTAATTCTCTGACTATTTGCTTAGGCATTAAGTGAAATATCCGGTTTGACTTTATGCCT